TAGGGCGGAATGACTTCAGCCTGTGCATCCAGAACTTTTCCTTGCCTTTTCTCTGCGCGTCTGTCCATCTTGGATTATGGTCAATAACCACTACTGTCATGTCCTCCCGTTTGTGTCCTTCAAGGTTGAAATGTTCCCCAACGGGTTCATTGAGTTTTTTGGTCCTAATGGTAGAACGGTGATTATTGACCCTCCTGCGAAGATCTCCTGCTTCACCAACATACTGTTTGGAGCAAACTTTGCAACTGATGAGATAAATGCAGTTGTCTGTTTGACAGGACAAATTCCCTAGTATTTTGTAGCTGCGGCCTGTAACGGGGCTGTTAAAACTGTCTGTGTCAGAGCTGTACTTACAGAGAAGACATCTTCTGTCAGAGCAAGTTTTAAAGCCCCCGTTAGGTAATGGATTGTCCAATCTGGTTCTTACTACCATGTCCTTCAGGTTCCTCGGGCGTCTGTATGCAGCCAAAGGGGGCTCCTTAAAGACCTCTGCCATTCGTTTATTTGAGTGGAGAATTGGCAGATTCTTTTGAAGGATACCGCTGAGGTTCTTAAGGACGGGATGGTATGTGGTTACCAGAGGGACCCTGCCGCTATTGTCTTTTTCCTTGTAGCGTAATAGGTTTTGCCTGTCATGTCCCGCCATCTCATCAATAGCAGTTTGTACGGTGCGGGCATTGTAGCCTCTCTTGCATAAGTGGGACTTAAGGAGACCGCTTTGTTCTTGATATAAGGCAGGGGATGAACAGATGCGCCGAATTCTGGTGGCTAGACCCTTAGGCACACCCTTAAATGTGTGTGGGGGATGACAGCTAGTTGGCATAAGATACAGATGGGAATCTGTGGGTTTCGTGTGGAGACTGGACTCGATTTCACCGTCAGTCAGGGTAGATGTAGTATCTAGGAATATGTTTTTCGAATTAGATACGTCTACTGTAAATTTGATAGACTGATGAAAGGTGTTGGCAAACGAAATGAATGCCTCGAGGCTCTCGCGACATTCCACCCACTTCATCTCTATATCGTCAATGAAACGCAACCAGCTAAGGGGCCTAAATGGTGCTTGAAGTAGCAAGTTGCGTTCCAGTCTGCCCATGAAAATATTGGCATAAGATGGTGCCATTTTCGTACCCATAGCAGTGCCATTAACCTGCAGGTAATGTTCTCCATTAAACATGAAGTTGTTATACTTGAGAACATGTTCAAGGAGCATGGCAAGGGACTCGGTAGAAGGATTTTGTATGGATCTACTATCCCAGACTTCTCTACAGGCTTCGATACCCTCATCGTGCGGAATATTGGTGTACAAAGATGTGACGTCCATAGTCACGAGAAGGGTATGATCTGGGAGGCCAGTAGAGGGCGTCTTGTTAATGTAGTCCGTGGTGTCCTTGAGATAGGATGGCAAATTCTCTACGTGTGGACGGAGATGTAAATCGATGTATTCAGAAATTTTCTCCGTGGGGTGTCCAATAGCGCTAACTATAGGGCGACCTGGCATACCTTCTTTGTGTATCTTGGGAAGCAGATAAAATTGTCCTGGTCTACAGTCAATAGGATTGAGTGTCTCATAGACGTTGATACCAATCTCGTTTTTCTCAAACATTTCGTCAAGAGTTTTGGTGATGGCGGTGGAGAATTCTTTAGTAGGGTCAGAGTCCAGTTTCTTATAGAAACGTTCGTCTGAGAGTTGTCTATGGGCCTCCGCCATGTACGTCTCTTTATCAAGCACTACTACATTAGAGCCTTTGTCTGCTTTCTTGATTACAATGTCATCCCGATTCTTTAATGATTGTAAGGCGGATCTCTCTTCCTTACTCAAATTGTCGGGAGCCTTGTCTGGCATTGAAAGGAGTTTCTCTATGTCTGACTCAACGGCGTCAATATACGACTCAAGGGCTCCGCATTTGCCCGGTGCAGGTTCCCAGTCACTTTTTGGCCGATAGAGTTTGTGTTCCTCTAGGTCGTGCAATTGTGGCTGAGAAGAGTCATATGAGTCAACTTCGGAGTTTTTTCTAGAAAAATGCTCCTTCAACCGAAGTCTCCGAAAGAAAGCTCGGGTGTCCTCTCTGACTTGTTTTTCGTCGACCTCATGTGGCGTGGGACAGAAATTCAGCCCCTTGGAAAGAAGTGAGGTCTCCGATTCGGAGAGAGGAACACTAGATCTATTGAGCACTGGGCAGACGTCAGGAGTTTGTGAGGGTCCGTCCCTCGCGATTGTCGTTAAGCGCTTGAAGCGTCTCGAGCGGGGCTTACGTGTTTTGTTAACTCGGACCTCTGATCGGTTGTTCCTGGTCTGTGGAACACTGTCTCGGAGAAATTTCTTTCTTTGAGTCTTGTTGAGTTCATTTGTTAGGGCCATATTATAGGTGTCAATAATATTATGGGCTTCATCAAGATCAGCTTGGGACATGCTATCAGTGAGGGATGATTCTAAGGAAGTGATATCACTCTCAAATTGTCCTAACTTGTGGATATCCCAAGAAAGACAGAGTGACATCAATTGTTTAGAACACCTCTTTGTAATATCTTCCCAACGTTCTTGAAAGCGTTTGGAGATCGGCCCTATGTTAGGCGTGACATTAATCTGGAAACCTTTAGGTATAATGTCACACTCTAACCTGCAGGTTAATGGCACTGCTATGGGTACGAAAATGGCACCATCTTATGCCAATATTTTCATGGGCAGACTGGAACGCAACTTGCTACTTCAAGCACCATTTAGGCCCCTTAGCTGGTTGCGTTTCATTGACGATATAGAGATGAAGTGGGTGGAATGTCGCGAGAGCCTCGAGGCATTCATTTCGTTTGCCAACACCTTTCATCAGTCTATCAAATTTACAGTAGACGTATCTAATTCGAAAAACATATTCCTAGATACTACATCTACCCTGACTGACGGTGAAATCGAGTCCAGTCTCCACACGAAACCCACAGATTCCCATCTGTATCTTATGCCAACTAGCTGTCATCCCCCACACACATTTAAGGGTGTGCCTAAGGGTCTAGCCACCAGAATTCGGCGCATCTGTTCATCCCCTGCCTTATATCAAGAACAAAGCGGTCTCCTTAAGTCCCACTTATGCAAGAGAGGCTACAATGCCCGCACCGTACAAACTGCTATTGATGAGATGGCGGGACATGACAGGCAAAACCTATTACGCTACAAGGAAAAAGACAATAGCGGCAGGGTCCCTCTGGTAACCACATACCATCCCGTCCTTAAGAACCTCAGCGGTATCCTTCAAAAGAATCTGCCAATTCTCCACTCAAATAAACGAATGGCAGAGGTCTTTAAGGAGCCCCCTTTGGCTGCATACAGACGCCCGAGGAACCTGAAGGACATGGTAGTAAGAACCAGATTGGACAATCCATTACCTAACGGGGGCTTTAAAACTTGCTCTGACAGAAGATGTCTTCTCTGTAAGTACAGCTCTGACACAGACAGTTTTAACAGCCCCGTTACAGGCCGCAGCTACAAAATACTAGGGAATTTGTCCTGTCAAACAGACAACTGCATTTATCTCATCAGTTGCAAAGTTTGCTCCAAACAGTATGTTGGTGAAGCAGGAGATCTTCGCAGGAGGGTCAATAATCACCGTTCTACCATTAGGACCAAAAAACTCAATGAACCCGTTGGGGAACATTTCAACCTTGAAGGACACAAACGGGAGGACATGACAGTAGTGGTTATTGACCATAATCCAAGATGGACAGACGCGCAGAGAAAAGGCAAGGAAAAGTTCTGGATGCACAGGCTGAAGTCATTCCGCCCTAATGGTATTAACAAACTTAATGACTTCACCAGGATGAACGTGAACTAGACCCAATCCCGGATTGTAACAAACAAGTTAATTCTCTCTATGTAGTGTAAACTTTACCGTTAATTCGTATCAGTAATCCTGGAACAACCTACCCAAATATTTACAGCTCACATTTTTGTTTATTTCTTTTTTCCGATTTCCAAATTTATAATATATCCAAATTCATATTTCAGAATTGTCCTTCCATATTATCTTTCTTTAATTTCTTTTTATCATGTAGAGTTACGCTATTTTGAGAGAATAAGACAATGTACGATTTACTGTTGGCCGTAATTAATTAGCGATAATTAATTCGTTCAATTATGTAAATCACACTTCACCAGAGTACACCCGATAGACCGGACGCAATTCATAGCGCTCCGGATTTCTTTGTTCACAACTGTTTATAAACTCCAAATTAAACATGTAACATTGTAAATATTTAGTGTTTGGTAGTTTAGTAGTAGTGCTAGTTGTTTTTGCTTCTCTATTTCCTTTGTTTTTATGACTTCTTAACTTTTTTCTTTGTCCTGAGGAAGGGACAGGTTGTCCCGAAAATTTGACAATTATTATTGTTCGTGTCGTTGGTCATTTTTAGTGCTTTATATATATATATATATATATATATATATATATATATATATATATATATATATATATATATATATATATATATATATATATATATATATATATATATATATATATATATAATTCAAAAGTAGTTAAAAGATGATGTCACACAGTAAAAAATCATAAAAGAAAAAGAAAATTCACGGTTTCCAAATTTCATTTAACACAAGCGCTTTCTTGATTTCATAATCCGTCTTCAGGTGTACATAACATTTGTTTTGTTTTGCTTGGTACGTTAACTATGACGTCATGACGTCATGAGAGTCTTTGCAGGGAAGGAATAAATCCCTGACGTCATAGTATGTAGTGTAACGTAAAAGTTCGGGAAAATTGAATTGGACAATAAATTATGATTTCACAGTCTCTGTAAACAAACTAAAAATAAATTAATTATACAAAAAGGACATAAACATATCAATAAATTAATGTTTGTTCAGTTTTGTTGAAAATAAATTTATAAAATAGTTCTCTTTTACTATTCTCATTACGGCTGAATCGCACATAAGTTTATAAAATGGAAAGACCCAGTAGTTTCCTTGAGAGCAAATGTCGAATTCTGATGCCGGGATTATTGATTTGCTTTTTTTAGGTCACCTGAGTCACTCAGGTGACCTATTGCTATCTGTTTTCGTCCGTCGTCGTGCGTCGTACGTCGTGCGTTGTGTGGTAACATTTGAAAAATTTCAGCTTTTTTCTGAATTGCTGAACAAATTTCAGCCAATTTTAGCATATGGCATCTATGTGTGAAGGGGAACAGAATTTTTGAATTTCATGTTCCCTTCCCCCCTGGGGCCTGAGGGGTGGTGCTAAAACCACCAAAATTAATCCAATCATTAAAAATCTTTTTCTTTACTCCTGGACATCAAAGAGTCGAACTGTTGGCATGATTGTAATATGCATTAAGCCCTCTACGAAAATTGTGAAATTCATGGCCCCAGGGTCAGGGGTTCTGGTGCTATGGCGGGGCTATATAGATCATTTAGTGAAAGTGCATTATTTCTTTGAATTAATTACGATTAATCATAATCTTTCCTTTTTTAAATTAATCCTCACATCTCATCATTGCATTTCTTTAGTAGTTTCGAAATATGTTGGTCCCACCGGAAACAAAAACGTCAATTTCCGGTTATAAGAGAAAAACAACATAATTTGAGTATTTTTCTTTCCCATTAATATCTTTTGTAGATGAAGTATTTGAAATGAATTTTAAATATGTTATTCAGACTGTAAATGTCTAGAGTATCCCTAAATATCTTTCAAAAAATCACTTCCGGTCGCGTGTTCTCCTGTCCTCAAAATGAGAAGTTGTCTGAGCGAGATCTCAAAAACAGGTAAAAGATTAAAACACCAAACTTTTATTTGTAATAGACCTTGAAGAGTAGGCGAAATCATTTGGGTTAAACGCGTCAGTCATCACTTCTGCTTGTCACAGGAAGTGATCAAAGAAATCAAAAATTTTAACCTTTTTCTTTTTTAAATTAAAACTTGCATCACTTTATTGTATCTCTTTCCCTATTTTGAAATATGTTAGATTCCATCGGAAACAAAAACGTCACCTTCCGGTTTTAGGAGATAAATTACGTTATTTTGATATTTAACTTTCTCATAAATATTGCTTATCGATAAAGTACCTGAAATGATTTTATGTAAGTTGTAGATACTGCAAATGTCTAGAGAAAAGTCAGAGATTTTTTATAAAATTCACTTCTGGTCGCTTGTTTACCTGTCCTCAAAATCAGAATTTGTTCTCAAAATATTGCTCAGCAACAGTAAACGACTGAAGACTAAAACTTTCAGGACTGATAGTCAGTCATCCGTTTATTTGAATCGTGAGAAAAACTTGTATCGCCGTTACTTCGAGAAAGTGATGTAAAAAAGTGAATGGTTCATGGTAAGCACGTTGGATTTTCACGCTGACGACTAGGGTTAAATCTCCAGAGTGTCTGAACTTTTTCAGGTTGAATTTTCGTTTTTATTTTATTTAAGACCTATAGTGATTCTACTGTTTATTAGTATTATTAGGTCTTCCGTTTTCAACGGAAGACCTATAGTGATTCTACTGTTTCTTAGTATTATTAGGTCTTCCGTTTTCAACGGAAGACCTATAGTGATTCTACTGTTTCTTATTAGGTCTTCCGTTTTCAACGGAAGACCTATAGTGATTCTACTGTTTCTTATTATTATTATTATTCTTATTTTTTTGACTTTCTAATTTTGTGCACGCTATTTCTCGAAGACTATTGGATGGATTTATATGAAATTTCCAGGAAAAGTGTGTTGTAACATGAACTTGATCTATCTGAGAGATTTTTTGGAAATTCCCTTCCGGTGCCAAGTTACAGACCATTTTCTGATTTCAAAATGACATTTTGTCCGCGGATAATCTCAAAAACGACAAGAGATATCAATGTCAAACTTTCAGGGATTATAGTTCGTGATAGGTACTAGCCGGGTCGCTACTTTTCGTTCGTCGTCGGCACTTCCGGTCGCTTACGGAAGTAATCAAAGGAATCGTAAAATTTCAACTTTCCTTTTTTAAATCAATACTTACATTACATTATTGGATCTCTTTTGTAGTTTCGAAATGTGTTGGTCCCACCGGAAACAAAAACGTCAACTTCCGGTTATAAGAGAAAAACTACATAATTTGAGTATTTTTCTTTCCCATTAATATCTTTTGTAGATAAAGTATTTGATATGAATTTTAAATATGTTATTCAGACTGCAAATGTCTAGAGTAACCTCAAATATCTTTGTAAAATTCACTTCCGGTCGCGTGTTTTCCTGTCCTCAAAATGAGAAGTTGTGTGAGCAAGATCTCGGAAACGGTAAGAGATTATGATACCAAACTTTTATGAGCAACAGACCTTAAGATGTAGGCAAAATGATTTGGGTTAAGAGCGTCAGTCGTCACTTCCGGTCGTCACAGGAAGTGATCAAAGAAATCGAAAATGTCAACTTTTCTTTTTTTAATTAAAAATAGCATCACTTTATTGCATCTTTTTCGCAGATTCGAAATATGTTCATTCCACCGGAAACAAAAACGACAACTTCCGGTTAGAAG